ACTCTAATCTAATAATAATTAACATAGTAATTGTTTGTTTTGAGTTATTTGCAATTTTTTCGGTGTGAATTGCTTTGAGAGTTCTTTCATTTTCTGCAAACATGAAAAAAATCTATTCAAGCCAAATTAATAGTCTATTTGGTCATTATACTATAAGCAATTTTAAGTATTTCTACTTTCAGTTGAGTTTTTTTTACAATGATCACATTTGAAATGACTGACGATATGTAAAAAGAAAACATTTTGTCTTCGCTGCAATGAAAATCTCAAAAAATTGGACGGTTGGTCACCTTAAACTAACTATAACTATATATAAATATAACTATAACTATAACATTAGCAAAATTATATCTAAAAATCGTTTTTTGTTTAATTTTTCACGAATATTTACCATCCACTGTCTAAAAGGGTGGTTAAGTAATTATGTTGGGGTTAGATATTTAAATAGTCACTTTACTAAATTTTCTTTATTTGTCATTTGTCTCAAGTAAAAGTGTGGTAAAATTCGCTGGAGATATTTATGGAGGTGTCAGAAGTCAATAAATCTAAGTCACAATTTTTCTTAAAATTATTTATGTGGTTCAGGTGACACTGTATTTTATTATTATTATTATTATTATTACTCGTATTATCAATCCTCTTTCAATAAAGATCTTGTTTTTCACCTTTGCAACATGATTAACTGACTTACACTGATTGGCTTCTTAACCCTCCATATACAGGAAGCGCCAGAACTCGCGCAGAACGTAAGGTAAGATACCAGGAACATTGAAAAAATTCTATCCACAAAAATTACAAAGTTATAAGACTTTAAACTTTGCACTTTGACACTATACAGTATGTCCCCGGATTGAGTTTACAAGAGGAAAATTTTTTTATCTTTGATTTTACGCCAAAACTTCAAAAGAAAAACATTTTTTGTTTCACCTGAAACCAGCAAATCTGTTCTTAAAACTTCATTATTCTGATTCAATGAAAAGAAAAGTTAATTTTTGTCTTGATTTTCGTTTCAGGTAAAGCAAAAAAGGTTTTTCCTTTGCAGTTTTGGCATACAATCAAAGATAAGAATATTTTCCTCTTTTAAACTCAATCCGAGGCCATACTGTATATTTCTGTTGAAAAAAAATTCCAAATTTTTTTGCTACAGGCTATTAGAGGAAACAAGGAAGCTGTATCCTGAATTGTAATCTGTTTAATGTTATTTGTGGCTATTAAAAATTAAAAAAAATTGTACGTTTGCTAAATAATTATAAAAAAACAAATACAAAATCATCATTAGACATAATAAAATGTCAAATGTCAAAAAATAAATGTCAATTTTTTTTGACAGATAGAATTTTTTAATAGTATATTAAAGTACAAGTTGCAGAAGGTAATCTATTCAAGCACAAATTTGAAATTTTGAAACAAGCAGCGTAGCGGTGAGTTGAGGAACAATTGAGTGCTTGAAGAACCTTCTGCAACAAGTGCTTTATACTCTTTTTTTCTATTTTGCCGCGTTGTATCATTTTATAAATTACTCGTAAAAGACGAAAATTAAAAATAAATTCTAGAGAATTTTGCGACGGTTTGCCACATTTATAATAATTTAGAATAATTTTAGGGGGCTGTGAAAAATAAAAATAATTCTTATTTTCACATTTGAAAATGAAAATGAATAGTGAAGAAAGTCCGTCACTAAAATTATATTAACGCCAACGATTTATTCTAAACGCAAAATAGAAAAACATTTTTTTCATGTTCCTGGTATCTTAGCGTATAACTTCTCGTCACGATATTTGAACTGTCGTAAATCTTAAGTCGGGTGCCCGAATTACTCTTAACAATAGAGACATTTGGGTTGTTGTAAATAATCCAACAGTAAACACCATCTGGGACACCAGATCAGAATGGTCCGGACTTCAATAATTTTTCAATTTGCAATAGTTTTGAATGTTATGTTAAATAAAAGATTTTACAAAATTATAAAAAGAAACAATATGTTGTATTTTAAGAAAATGTACCTACAATAAGAACAATAAAGAATGATGCATAATTATGTTGTTGACTATATTGTTGTTTTTCAGAGTGGACTCCGATGATACATTTATTTGTTTGATTATACGATAATAATAAACCCTTATTTTGAACATTAACAAGGTTGGTACTGAGTTATTTTTGTCCTCTTATCGGTGGTAAAGGGAGGTAAACTGATGACGAATCCATACGTAGGTATTTAAAGAAAAAATTGACATTTTCTCAGACACTTTTGGCTTTGCTCTCCAGCGCGTTTGTCTCGATATTTAGTTTTGTTCGTTGTGATTATAAATTAATTTATTTTGTGTTCTCTAATTGGCATAGGTAAAGAT